AGGTAGCCAAGCGTCATCTGTATTATATAAAGAATGTTGTATCAGTGTTGTATTTCCCACATACTTTATCATTTATACTAGGAGTATATATGTGTCCATTATAATTTAGTGTACTTAAAATATTCATTATTTTCACAAAAACAACCACTTGATTAAAAAGCAGGTGAAGTTTTCAATAGGTGTTATCTTGTCAATTGCATTGATCTCTGCTTGTTTGTTTGACCAGATTTATTTTCAGAATCGTAAACACAGTACTTTTTTAGCTCCCCTGTCGACTTTGTCGAGCGGAGCTTATATGAGTGATTGTCCGTCGTTGTCTGTGTCAATGTTTTACTTTTTCGACTTCTTCTTGAAAACTACAAGCCTGAATGCTTTGATACTTGGTGTATTTCATGATCGTATCTTCAATTCTCTAATTTTGGTGAATATTTTTGTCATTTTTGGTAAAAAGTGATATTTTCAACTCCTTGTTGAAAACCGCAAGTCCAATTGCTTTGATATTACATATATAGGTACTACATGTGGACCTCTCTCAGATTTGTTCATTTTGTAATGATATCTTTAATTCTCTAATTTTGGTGAATATTTTTGTCATTTTTGGTAAAAAGTGATATTTTCAACTTCTTGTTGAAAACCGCAAGTCAAATTGCTTTGATATTACATATATAGGTACTACATGTGAGCCTCTCTCAGATTTGTTCATTTTGTAATGATATCTTTAATTCTCTAGTTTTGGTGAATATTTTTGTCATTTTTGGTAAAAAGTGATATTTTTGACTTCTTGTTAAAAACCAATAGTCTGATTGCTTTGATATTACATATATAGGTACTACATGTGAACCACTCTCATGATGATATCTTCAATTCTCTAATTTTGATGAATATTTTTATAATTTTTGGTAAAAAGTGAAAATTTATAGTGAAAAATGATATTTTTGAATTTTTGTTGAAAACAGCAAGTCCCATTGCATTGATACTATGCATATTGTTCATTTTCTAATGATGTCTTCAGTTCTTTAATTGAAATGTGCATTGCTAACAGTGGAGCTATCTCAGCCGAGAGGCTGCTTGTTTGTTTTCCTAAGGCCAGTTTTTATTATCAAGAATCATGAACAAAGCCATATGGAATAAATCTAATGATCATGAATTTATTTTAATTGGCAACCCCAAAGTCACCATAATAACTGAAATAAGTGTTAAAAATGTGAAAAATATTAATTCATTCAATACTGCCCCCATTATAGATTACGTGCGATTTCTTTTGTTTTTTGTGTGTGTGTGTGGTTTCTTTTGTTTTGTTGAGCGGTGTAGCGAATACATTGGCATGGTTAATTAGTATTTTCAAAAGTTTTGTCTACGTTCTGGTGCCAGTATAGATTTGAGGTTTTGCCACCAAACTCTAGTTGTTTTGTGATAGACAAATCAGTGACATGTTTGTTCTTATATAGAGGGAGGTGCGTGCTATAAACCTGTAAACTGAAATACAGTTATTATACTATTTAACTGTTTTTATTTCATCTACCACATTTTCAGCTTAATTTGTCTGGATTCTGCATACAAAATGAAATAAATATATACTAGATATAAAAGCATTTTAGTGGATACGTGTTTTATTGGTTGCATAGTATACCCCAAACAGATATGTATAATTGTAAATGACTATAAAATGTATAATGGAAATATTCCTGCCTCTGATGAATTGTAAACATTCTGAATATTCAGGCTCATAATTTTCATAATTCCTCTGAATACTCCTACAATGCACTAATGTCTTGGCATATGTTCATATGTGTATTTGCATCAAATCTTGTTCCACTGATACCTTGGGATCAATGAGCTAGATTGAAATGAACCTTTGCACACAACTACTATATCTTGAACACTAGACCTCATAATATTTTAAAACAAATCAATGTATGGTAATTAGGTAATTTGCATATTAATCAGTTTCACTATCTTAATATGTATATATATTATTATATCTGTCACTGTAACGCCATAAGTTACAGCATGCTGTAATTTTGCGGTATTTCATAGAGTATTTTCATCCTACCATATAAGGAAATGCAAATTCCAAATATGGAATGATTATGCATGTAAGCGTCCTCTAATAATAAAAACAAACATGGCTGCCACTAGGTTTGACCGGACACAAAGATGTTCGCTGATTCTGTTCTAAACTTTTTGGATTTCAACATTCCCATGATGTATCCTTGAAAGGAAAAGATGTATAATAGTGTTATTACGAGGATTTGTCAAAGTATCCACTCAGACAGTATGCCGTCGCATCGACCTCCGCTTCTCGTCTGTCGATACTCCCACTCTATTGTCTTTGTGCATACTTAGAGGTATCCTCGTAATAACTTCGTATTATCAGCTAAATAAATAACAACTTGTTCAGTTGATAATAGTTTGATATTCTATTCTAATTAGCTAAATTACATACTAATTAACTGTTTGTGTAGATCAATGTCTAATAATCTGCATTAACTGTTAATTAACATACTGTATATTTTGTTTAATGTCTAATCCTAGTTTAGAATTAAACTGTGCATATCAATTAGCTAATTAGTCCCTGTTTGGACGCAGTCCGAAAACGGGGACTAATGTTTTTTTGACCTTTGTGCACCCTTGCATGCGTTGGGATCTGTATTTTAAACATTCCTGGACCAATCACAATCAAACTTCACACATACATCACATATAATATTATACATATGCACATCAATTGATTTTACGATCTGATTCAAGTTGGCTGAATGGTGGCCATTTTTGTGCTAAAAAATCATCAAAATCAAGCATTTATGGATGGATTTTGTTTA